TCTTCAGCATACAGCGGCGCTTTGACATGACTGATCTCGAATTCTAACGCGAAATAACGCATATGAAATTGATCTCCAAGCTGAGGAGAGCGACGCAGACGAAACCTTGAGACCGGAGGCCCCCCGTAGCTAGCTCCGCCCACTGTAACAGACATCGGACAATAGAAAGGCTTGCGTGTAATCTCCTTCTGTTATAACTCCTTGGTACCAGCATGTTTAATTTTGAAGCAGTCAGAGCACCCTTTGTCCATATAACTTAATTTTTCAGCTTATACCAACAAAACAATTCTTGGGATGTGCACTTTAGTACATAAATTTTATTTAAATTTAATGAAAAATACCACTAGTTGAATTCATTTCTGTTCTATATGCTACATAGGGCTGATATCTGAGGATGGGGACACCTGTGACATGACCATGAATGTAACAGACTATGTGAGGCACACTCCCTGTGGTAAGTTTTTACATTTAATGTTCTCTCCACATTTAGGATTTACAGTCCTCCTCATGGTAATATGTGTTACATTTTAGTTTTAAATAACTCTTAATTTTTTCTTTTATTTGCTGTAGTACAGTATTGAATAGAAAACAGAAAAGCTGGGGATTTTACAAGTATGTTAGAAACAAGAGGCAGCGTGTTGATCTGATTGCATTCAATGAGAGTCCCCATTGAGTTAGTGGGCACTAGTTAGTATGATAGATTCATTGTAAACGCACCCTAAGATTCAATGTAAAATTACTGTCCAGGAGGAGGTTCTTGTATTTGATTTTCTCATTTTAGATGCATGCCAAGCTTTCCGACAGCTGCCAAAATTATCTAGACTCTTCAAGGACAATATTGCCTATGTTTTATTAGGCAGACTGAGACAAGGTAGGTAAATAAGCAGCTAAGATATTGTTGGTTATTTTATTGATGATTTTTTTGCTTTATGGTTCAGTATGTAATGTGTGTTTGCATTTTATATGTGTCATTCAAGATTGAAATCAGCACCTACTTTAATATTTTACATTCATCTTAAATTGAAATAAAAGTTGTAAAAAAGAGTATTGATTTGATACATGTTTACAACTTACTTTGCATTCCAGTATGACAAAAGTTTATAGGATATCAAAGAAAAAATACTTAAAGTTGCCTGTAGATACATGTACTAGAACTGCATTACTATTCTTCTTCAGCATTGAATCTGCCTACACTTTATGGCTTCATGGGACTTCTCCCAGAGTTAAAGGTAAGTGCTGGATACTTTTTCCTTGCTTAGGGCTCATTCCCATTGAAACTGTAGATCTACCTTGATTGATCAAACTCTGCGAGGACTCTCACTGAATGAAGTTTGATTTTAAAATTAGCACAACTTCCCCTGGCATTGAGTAGAATATAGAAAAGATGGTGATTGTTGGAAACAAGAGAAGGCATCTTAATTTGTTCAACTGCTTACATTCAGCAAGAGCCCCTGCAGAGTTACATGTGGCTATCTTGGTTTGGAGAATGAGATGCAGTTACTGTAATTACTGTCTATCATTGCACACTAGTAGTCATTTTAACATGCCGAAGTCCTGTCATATATTTTACTTTTACACAAGGTGAAATATAATGAATTATAATACAATGTCACTTCAGATATATCTAATTGCGTTTTGTTGGATTTGTTTCATTCTTTTTTTTGTATGTGCTAAATGGCTGGGATTAATCTAGTATTAATATGCTTTTGTGGTTAAAATTTTTTTTCCTTAATCAGAAAGTTTTCTTTAATGACCAAAGGGATTTTCTTTAGCCAGGGAGCTTGGCTAATACATCTTTTCACTAGGATGGGATTGGAGAGCAGGTGTGTTATTGAATTCTTGAAACATAAAAAAGGTTTGTTCTGTTTGTTTTTTAGGTTCTTATAATGAGTTACTTGGATGCCCCATCGCTGTGTGTCATGGCGAGGGTGTGTAAGGAACTGAAGACGATGACAAGAGAACCATCTCTTTGGAGGCGGTTGTATCTCAAAACTTTTGGAAGTATGTGAAATGACAGCACTGATGAATTTATTTATAAGGACATTTTTCTGTAACAATCAAAAACTGGTGTCCATAGTTGCATTTAGATTTTACTTATTATTGTTCTCTGTACTGAATAACCTCAGCTGAAAACATTGCACAGAAAACTTTGTTTATATATGTAATGTGGTATTTCCTCAAATATTCCAGTTTCAGTGGGGTTTGTTGCTTGTCTGGGACATTTTCTTGATCTCTTATTTATTTCTTTATATATTTCTTTCTTTCTTTATTTCAATTTTGTGTGCTGGCTGCAAATCAGTCCACCTTTACTGTCAATTTTAATAGGGGTCGGGAAACGAGACTTTACCCTGATTTTTACAATATTTTGTTCTGTAAGAAGTCTTGAGCATTTATCTGTTATTGCTATTTGCATATTCAACATAAAATGATCTTCCTTGTTTTCAGGTTACAGGGACAATAGCTTGTCACACAATTGGTATCAGGTAAGTTAAGATGAAGGGATCCAGTGTTATAAATATTCCTAGCCTAAGAATTACAAGAAATCACAAGTTCTGGATGCAAATTGAATTAATAACAGTAACTGAAAGATGAAGGTAATTGTAGTTAAATGTTTTATGGGAATTTTGGTGTAGATTCTGGCCTATTTTGTATTTAAGTTTGCAGTTTGTGCAAATAACAAATTCATCTTTCTGTGACGTTAATTGCTAGACCAGTATATTCAAAGCTATACAAGCTTCTTTCATTTGATAATGAACATGGCTATATTTGATTAATTTCATATGGGTAATTAAAGGGATAATAACTCTTTATATGAGATCTATATTTCACAATAAAAACATTGTGAATAACTCATAGAAATATAATATATTCTGTTTTACCACAAAAAACGGCAGTTATAGCTATTATTCTGATATCTGAGCTTGTCTTTAGACCACGTGACCTCCATTGATGGCTATACTTTGGTAAAATCTCTTAAGAGATTTTAACAAAAAACATAACTTTTAAGAAAAAAATCAGGGACTAACTTTGAATGTAAAAATGGATTCATTAACCATTGGTAAGTATGGGAAAATTGTTGTTTACCCCAGGAAAAATTAATTTTTTGGCCGAAACGAAGAGTTATTATCCCTTTAAGTTGTTAATTAAATCCTCAATTATTCTAGTTTAAATTGGTTACATAAGTAAAGAACTGGGGAGACACTTCTAAAACATTCTTTCAGTTGTACAAGCAAAGATACCTTGAAAGAAAAGCTGCCAGAGAGCAGGTCAGGTTGGTCCTTCCTGGAATGCCTCATCGTTTTGGCGTACCACCCCTGCCTTTTGCCCCCGGGGTCAACCCCCCAGGGTTCAGGGGAGGGGACTATGATCTTGATCCATTTGGTGGTAGGTAGAATACAGGTTGTAATCAATTAGGTTGTGTGTGTGTGTGTGTGTGTGTGTGTGTGTGCTTGAAAAAGAAGGATATGAAGCATGGCGATTTGTGTGTGATTGTGAGCGGGTTTTTACCAGGGGCGTGGATTTAAGAGAGAGTTTAGTAAAATAGTTTAAGCCTTGAGTATTTTTGCGTGCACCATTGTTGCTATGTATACGCAACTGTACATCCCTTAATGTCCACAAACTCAATACAAGATAGACAGTAGGCTACATCCGTGAATAACATAATGGCTGTTTTCAGTTGCCTTGTTCCGACAAACATAACAAATCAAGCTCCCGGCATTTTTTTAATTCATAGTACCCTTGGCCTTATATAAGTTATTAATCAGATTATTTTCCTTCTAGGGAGTGGGCCAGTCTTCAGCCTCCCACGGCCCAGATTTGACCCCCTGCTGGGGCCAGGAGGATTGCCAAGACCACGCCCTGGACCGGGAGTAAGAAACCCAAGACCTTCGTACGGTGGTGGCGGCTTTGGGCCAAGATTTTTCTAAAGACTTCTCAGTTTATCTTTGAAAACGTCAGTTGATCTGTTATTTGTTTTAATAAAACGCCCAATGACCATTCCGTACATTGTTTGTTTGTTATGAAAAAATAGCAATGCAATATTCTTCATATTTTTATATGTATGTAATGTTTTGTCTTCTTGACACCTCCACCCACCGATCCCTCCCCTCACGACCTCTAGAAAAAATGTTTAATGTATATAATTCAATAAAATGTTTTAGAAGCAAGTTTAAACCACACAATATAAGTGGAATAATCAAATTTTGGTGGGACTTGCTATAGTTAAATTGATAACTAGAAAAGCACTCCGAGAGCGCAGACCTCCGCCAAGGCAGCAAATTTTTATTATTATTATTATTGATTGTTGATTGATTATTGATCCAGATCACCACCAAAAACTAATCACTTCTAAGTTAACCCATTTCTGACCTACCTTGAAAATTCCATCGAAATTCATCCATAACTTTTTGAGTTATGTTGATGACAGACAAACAAGCAAGTGGTGAAATCGTAACCTCCTTGGCGGAGGTAAAAACGCTAATTGTAACATGTCGAATTTAATGAGTACAAAAGAAAGAAAAATTTGATAAAAAGCTATTGTTATTGGCTCAGCAAAATTTGAGCAAAATTCACAAAAATAAAACCTATTCGGCCCAAACAAAATGCTAGCCAAATTTAATGTCTGTAAAGCAATTATACTCGTTCGCCCTTCAACTCGTAATGTCTCCCAGTAAACAGTTCAGCAAATGTTGCACAAAATTTAATGTAGAAACGTGCTAGTATTTTGCCGGTCGGCTTTGCCTGTCTAGCAGATATTTGCGTTCATAGTGCCGTATTTATAACACTGATCCTGCAGGTTCTTAATGAGGTTTTTAAGGAGAGCTATACAAGTTGCTCTGCTCATTCCAAAATAGCTGCCAACAGCATTCTCCACCTGATCACAGATAAAGTCTATATTCACAAAGCCACATCCTAACTGGGCGGCATCACCGCCATAATTGTTGATGACCCTCTCGATGGCGTTGCAGACAGGGGTAAAGAGACCCCTCTTGAAATCCTCATCTTCCATCAACATGCGGGCTGGAAAGGAAAGTTAAGAAGAATGAATTATGAATGGCCGTACCTTGAACAACCATGACAAGATGCAAATGAAACGAACATTAGCAAACCGTTCAGTTAGATCGTAGCAAGGTGTGTTGATGAGACCTTGATAGTACTATTGGCACATTAGGGTGGTATTTAATTACAAATCGATGTAAAAATTACAGTTTGACAATTCATGAGTACCACGACTTAATAGAAGTGAATTAAGAATTAAACGCCGGTATTTGTAAATCCCTCTTACCCACTTTCTCGTCAAGAGACTTGGCGGACGTGAATGTCGCGACAAGGCAAAGTACTACAACAACGCACAGAACCTTCATCTTAACGTTGACTGAAACTGAAGACGAAACAAGAATATTAAAAAAAAAAACATTTCGAACATTTGAAAGAAAAGTTCCGCCAAACATTTGAACTGGTGTAATAAATAATGACGCTCTGCTTTAAAAATGCCTCAAAGTAATGTTTTTGAGTCCACAATCACGTGTCCTGTTCAGCTATGTATCTTTCCTAATTCGGACAAACTAATTAAAACGATAAAACACTTCTAATAAAAGCACCCATTTTCGATATTTCTTTTTAAAATGTGCGGGATGACAAGTGAGTGACCAGTCATTTAAACTAGTCATTACTTTATTAGAAATTCAGGTATAAAACATCGAACCCAAGTCGATAGGGTCGATCAATAATTTGCGGTTAGGAGGGAAAAAACTTATCCAGGAATATTTGATTTGGCGAGAAAATCCCAGATAGAAAACCTTTGATTAACTGACGTTTGTCGTAACTTTTTTTCGTAAGTTTTCACTGCATTGTACTTTGATATCTACGAATGTTGTAGACAGTGTGCATGCAGAAATAAATATAAAAAAGAAGAAATAAATTCATGGTACATTGGGCCGGTGTGAACGGAATGGTAGTCCTAGTAACGCAAGTCCGACCGGACACTAAGTCCTGGGAACGTAAGTCCTAGGTCTAGCGTTGCTAAGAATGGAGGTCCTAGGACATACGTTACTAGGATTTAACGTCCGTAGGACAACAGTTACCAAGGAATGCATGTCCCACCGCCAGGAATTTAAGTCCGGATGGGACCTGTTATCCTGATTTACACTAGGAATATATGTCCGCTACCATTTTTCTCTCGCACTTAAAGTGAGTGATAGATAGATAGATAACTAATATAATATTACCGTTACTTTTAAAATATTTCACCTAAACAAATACAATGGAATAAAAAAGGTATATGAAGAATAACACTTGTTACATTTGCATATATTTATTTCAGTTTTTCACATATTTATTTCAGTTCTTTATCTATTCATCTGCAACATAAACTTTCAAATTTGCCCTGTTTACGGCGCCTTTCAGTGTGCATCCGCCTCAATCTGGAGGATGTAATATCCAGATTTGGATATCCCCTTCACAACGGAGGGCCCCAGCCAGGGGTTTTCTTGTTTGCCCCCCTTTCTGTCACTCCTTCGTAAATTTCTTTTCAACACTTTTGTTCCCACGGTAAGTACCTGTAAAATTAATTTAGATACCATAAGTGTTTTTGCATCGTTAATCACAGTTCACCTGCATTCAATTTTAATATAAATGGTAATTGACTACGAAGTATACAAATGTACAAGGCGCACCACCAGTAAATGGTATAATCCAGGCAAACAGTGTACATATTACGATCACACTATATTAAACCAATGCTTTATAAGTAAAATATGCATCAATTTGATTCATGGGGTAATTCACCAAAAGCTTATACCTCATCAGTTGAATGTCCCCGGACCTAAAACCCTAGAAATGGTAGTCCCCGGACCTAAAATCCTAGAAATGGTAGTCCCCCGGACCTAAAATCCCAGAAATGGTAGTCCCCCGGACCTAAAATTCCAGAAATGGTAGTCCCCCGGGCATAAATACTCATTAAATAGTAATCCCCTGCAGGACATTTATTCAAGGTACATAGGACCATTGTACACACATCCCTGGAATTATATATCTGCGTATAACGTAGTGTGACCTCTAATAATATTGCATATTAAACATCATGAAAATTGAAAGTTTACTAAATAAAATTAGACTTGCTTGTTCTCCGAATAACTCTTTTCTCTGTTGGTGTTGTCTCGATGGCATACGTGCCCTCCTGAAGATATTGGAAAATAACTTCAACTTCGGTCCGTGTGCTGCTTGTCCCTTCCATATCAAACGTCTTGTGAGGGTGTGGTATTCATATATGAGCGGTATTTATAGTAGAACAAGGTAGCGTGTGACATCTGGTTATGTCTGTAACCAATCAAAAATTTGCTACGTTGCAAAAACTACGACCAGGATAAAACAAAAAAAATTCACACGAAAAGTAAACATACTTTTATTTCTGTAAACGAAATTCGAACCTCCATCCACTTACACAATTACTCTGAATAACATCCATTACACTGCACAGCCTGACCACTACACC